CAGTGGTTGTCGCAGGAAAACTTTTGCAACCCACGTAGCCGGGCCGATGAGACGTTTCCAACTCTTCCTTCGGCATGTGCGTCCTCAACCTCTCAACTCCTGTTGCCGACTGCTTTCGGCTCAGGGTTGCAACTCGGCACAGGTAGGGCTCGTGGACAGGAAGCTGTCCGACTATGATGCCTATGAAGGTTGTGTCCGAGCTGTTCCCCGGGCCCGGGAGCAGCTGGCCCAAAATCTCGGGCTGCCAGAAGGAGCCTAAGCGAGTCGGCTGCCTTTGGAGTCCAACGTCAATTCACCACCAGCCTGTACAAGTTCAGTCTTTCAGCACGATGCCGTTTCCCGCAGGACCGATAGACAAGCAAGACCCATGTCCGAGAAAGCACTGGGTCAGGATGAGTGAGACCGAAGAAGCAGCCGCATGGAGGATCCTACAACCGCAGGTCTATGTGGACAACATCCTGACCCAGTTGTGTCCTGACTTGCCCGAGCAGTTTCTTCGATCGTTGTTGCCGGATCCAAGAGCCGACTTCACCGACAAAGACTGGAGATATGAATGTGTTCGTGCCCGAAGGCTTCTCAGGCTCTTATGGTGGCTTAACCATCCTTCTTCTCTCAAACAAATCGCAGCCCATTCAAGGACCCAGAGACAAGATAAGCGGACCGCTTTCGTGGCCTCCCTTGTACAGATGTGTTCCCACTTGCCCGAGGCATTCGTCCGATCTTGTTTGCCGGATCCTATGGCAGACGTCGGAAAGACGTGCTGGGAGAAAGCATTGTTTTCTGCTAGACGGCGCCTCAGGTTGCTGTCTTGGCTCCATTTCCCAGATTTGGGCCAGATAGCAGATGGTGATGTTTGTGTTTCCGTTGCACAGACTCAAATGTGCTGACTGGAGGGTATCACAGCTGGCAGATTAATAACTCCGACGCGGGCCAGCCTCCAGTTTGGTCGGAGTGGCCGATGGTTTGCAGATCTCTCTGGCGATAAGTGACAGACAATAAGTTAGTGTGACAATAAGTTTTCATTGTGATTTTTAGAACTGACTGTCAGGAGTTTTGTTTCGTATGTTTTGCACATCAGCAGTCTGAAATCAGCAGTCTGAAATCAGCTTGTTCTGAAATCAGCAGTCTGAGAGTTGCCGTGTTTGAGATCTGCTGCTGGCAGTGCGGGGCACCTGTTCATCATGAATCATGATGAACAGATGCCACGCACTGCAATGAAGGAAACAAGGTTGTTTCATTGTTAGTGTGTTTTGGGTTGCAGGTCTGTAGTGGGATATTGTTTTGTTCTTAGAGCTCTTGGACAGCTCCGGGTCGTGCTTGTAAGCTTTGGGGACAAGTTTCTTTATCAAGTCCGAGGGGTGTTTTAAAACTGCGGCTGCTTAGACATTGTTAAATAATACTACTATCATTGCACAGCCTATTATGGACAGACATTGACAAAATGCCCCTCGCATAAATCACAAGGGCCCGGGGACAAGCCCGAGAACAGACTCAGAGGGGTTTGCTGGCAGCGTGGCAAAATATTGACAGGCTTGCTGTCGCTGTCTGGTTGTTATGTGTGTCTGTGCCTGCTGATGCTTTGATGCTGCTGCTTATGATGTTATCAATCAAAACATAAATTTGTTTTTTAATTTGCACCCGGCCCCCTGTTTAACCCCAAGATTGTTCGAGGTCAGCATGTGTGGTGTACGGCAACGACAAGTACTTGATCCGCTGCTTGAAATACATGTCGGTCCGGCTGAGACCAATGCTGCTTTTCATGGATTAGAATTTAGGGTGTCGGTTTGCTTTCTCTTGATTGTGCATTGTGGCCCCCTGCCCTGGGCAAAATCTGAGGTTTCGCACGCTGAACCCTGACATTCCGGATATTTGCTTGGTCCGCGGTCTCACGGGGTCTTACATCTTCGCTGCCACTGGACTCGCCAAAATGCAAGGTTGTGCTACATTAGAACAGTGCTCAGCTCCGGACACTTGTTGAGGTCACAGATCTGATCCTTTTGCGGCACCGGCGGAACGATTTGGCCACTCGAAATGTGGCGGAGATTCTTGAGCGGGTTTGCAAGAACCTGGTGGACCAGGACGGGCATCAGCACCGCATTGATTTCGCCCCGGCCATGATTATTTGTTTCTGGCAGGATCTGGACGAGGTCTTGATTTCTCGGCCACGACCGGGCGGCCTCGCCAAGCGGAGGCGAGTGGTCACGATGAGGTTCGAGGCCAGGCTTGTCAGAGTGCGAGTCATTCCGCTTGAGTTTCGCTTGTGCTACGATTTCATGAATCCAAGCCCTGCAGGATCGCGATGTTGAGATCACAAGGCCGACTGCAGCACCGGTACCATGGCAACTTCATTCATGTGAGCTGCTTTCATCAGACATGCAACAGAGTTTTGCCTCAAGCACTCGGAAAATTGTGTAGACCCCGAACATCATGGATTGGGCTGCTTCTGACGTGCTCGACAACATCTTGATGTACGTGTTGCCGATCAGAACCAGAATCACATTCATTACCCGTCTCGATCCAAATGATGACCCAGAAGAGGCACAACCCATAACCGAGACCATGGTGGCGTACACTTTCCTGCGACGTGGGATACAGGAATTTCGGCTGTCCTCTTCGGTTGAGTGGACCATGGGCTTTCAGTCTTTGCATACCACCATCCGTTTTGCACAAATCAATGCCGTGGCATGCACCATGTTGAGCAGCCCGTCAAAAAGGTGGATGAGAGCTGTCGTAGACCTAGTACAGGAGCGTTTGCGAGTGAGTATTGTGTCACTGGCCAGCGTTGCGTACCAAACTGCAACTCAGTGTTGCATGTACTTCGATGCTGATGCGGAAGAAGCAGAAGTTGAATTGCACTTAGTGCATAGACTGCGGTTCCTGAGGTTTCGTAGCCCACTCTCCTAGGTTTCCTGAGCATAAGACTCTCCCATGAAATTCAGTGAAAAAGCAGCGCGCAAACACTGTTTACATTACAAGGTGAGTGCCACTGTCCTGCAAGTGCTGTGCAAGCCTGCACAACGGCCGCCCGAAATACCCCAAAGACGCTGTTGTTTCACAGTTGGCCGAAATGACAAGATCTAATAACTTCAAGCAGCTGACTCTTCTGACTTTGAGAGTGTGATTCGAGACCTGCGACACGATGTGTCAAGTGTGTGTTCCTTGTGCGGGAGTGAAATTGCCTGGCCGAGGTTGGGCCCGGACCTATCATGATGACTGCAAACGGGGATCCTCGACCTTGCAAGTTTGGCTGATTTTTGAAATTGGTTTGTGGTTTCGATCCTCGGTTGTGTGCGGGGATCTGTTCTTGCAGTCTTGATCAGGAATGGGAGATCCTCTACTAAGATGCAACGGCTTGCTTGATGCGAAGCAGGAATGGAGCCTTGGCTCAAAAATTGCGACTGTCCAAGAGCTTCCATGGCTGCCCTGTCATTGCCCGTGTGTGTGTGTGTGTATATGTTTGCACATCATGGGTCATTGTACATTGTAGTTCACACCAACTGCCCCCAGACTCTTTCCCGCTCTGGTCGCTGGCTGTGGTTGTTCGTGTACAGTCTAAGGAGACACCACGATTCCGGAGGATTCTGACTTCATCTCGTTGGTTACAACGGATCTAGATTTGTGCCTTGGACATCAAGGAGCTGCCTCCCAATGTCTAGCGAATCCGAGCCACTTTTTCAGCCCGCTTCAGCTTCGGTCTCAGGTGCCCTATGTTTGTGATTTGCAATCGATGAGTTATTTGGCTCGGCTTTGCCACCACGACCCTTCTGATCGAAAGGTGGCAATCGGGCTTTTGCAACTTGGTTCAGCAAGCGCTTTCGGCTGCAAGTGCAATTTGTGTGTTGTGGGGGCAAGCCGGTAAGCTTCACTGCCTTTCCCTGGCTAGCTACTTACCATAGAGGGTTAACTACCTACTTATCATAATAGACAGGAAGCCGAAGCTTATGATTATGTAATTACATTGCATTCGCAACAGTGCCTGGGGTGCAAGTAGGAAATTCGGTGCACAGCATTCGGGCTGCTGCCGCCTTACGGGACTAAAGTATCCTACAACCTATAGTATAGGGGCCTTAGTCCTAAAGTTCAGACAGACTCGGCTAGCAAAGCCGTTCTCAGCAGCGGCGGCGAGCCGCTGATTCAGCACGTTCCTGGGTTGCGGGGAAAATGGTGAGCCGACGGCTGTGTTTATAGTGGGGTTTAAGGACACGGTTTTATATGGTTTTGTCTGGGAGAGCAACCTTTTCTTTCTCGTGAGCTTAGTCTGAAATCAGCAGTCTGAAATCAGCCGTCTGAAATCAGCTTCGTCTGAAATCAGCTTCGTCTGAAATCAGCAGTCTGAAATCAGCATAGCCATGATGCCTGCCACTCCTGAGTGGCCAGCCTGTGCGTTCTCGTCCTGGTACAAGGAAAACAAGAGTGGCAGTGCCTGGGGTGCAAGTAGGAAAATCGGTGCAGAGCATTCGGGCTGCTGCCGCCTTACGGGACTAAAGTATCCTACAACCTATAGTATAGGGACCTTAGTCCTAAAGTTCAGACAGACTCGGCTAGCAAAGCCCTTCTCAGCAGCGGCGGCGAGCCGCTGATTCAGCACGTTCCTGGGTTGCGGGGAAAATGGTGAGCCGACTGCTGCATGACATGAGTTCGCTGCATGCAGCACTAGGAAGCCATACTATGAACACATGGCCTGCCGCTTCTCGCTTGATTGAGCACAATTGAAAGGTAAGTTTTAGACTAGACTGTGAAAGCGCGTCCCGACCAAATCCATGAAACAAGGCAAACAAAGCTTGGACAACTTCTTGTGCATGGGCTGCCTATCAACATTCTTCCTGCTGGGCTGCCTTGCCTAGTCTGCAGCGGAGACTTGACTGCCTTTGGCCGTCTTCCTGGCGGGCTTTGACTGCTGGCCTTACCTGGCCAGTCTTGGGCTGATTCTTTCCTCTGGCCTTACCTGGCGAGTGTTGGGCAGAGATCCACCCAAGGCTGCAGAGCAGGCAGCGACGGCCATGAAGGTCTCGAAGGTTATGAAGAAGCCCTCCCAGGCCATGTATTCGACGGCAGCCAGTGCGAAGGCTGATAAAGACAAGAACAACAAAGAGAAGAAGAATGATGATGACAAGAAGAATTTTGATGACAAGAATAAAGACGATGACAAGGCCATCGTCGCGAAGTTGGAGGAGCAGGTGGCTAGCCTCCAGCAGCGAATGTCGAATGCTGAAAGCAGTGTGAAACTGCTACATGGTGTCACTTTTTCAATGGCTCGACGAATCAGCCGTGGGCTCCCGATGAGTGAATCCAGCGACAATGACGAGAAGAACGTCATTGTCGGCAAAGATGAAGACAATGACGTCCACGACCATGCAGAACCTAGTAGCATATGGAACGTGCTGGAAAAGGGGCAAATTTTTTGAGAAAGATGAAGACGGCTCAGGCCAGCCGGCTCCAAGAACACCTGAGTGGCCATCCCGGCACACGTGAGTAGATGTAGAACTGCAGCAGCAACAGACAGCAACATCCACACACAGACACAGCACACAACACACAGCAACACAGCACACAGCACGCAGCATAATACCGCACCGCGGCACACAGCAGCCTGCACCGCAGCACACAGCACACGAGGGGTGATGTTGTTTTCACGGTCGGGCTGAGTGCGCTATTAAGGATTCATATAGGGCGACATTACTTTATATTCTTTTTGTGAGTTCTGAATACATAGCCTGGGCATAGGCCGGGTTATAGACTAGTATTTCCGAATACTGACTAGATTCGGGGGGTGCATGCTCGGCCCAACTGAGTTTTTGGAAGATGTGCCGGTGAGTTTTGGAAAAAAGTGCGGGGTGATCGGGGTTTTAGCTTCCGGGTTTTTTGCCTACTTCCTTCCCGCTTCCCGGTAGTCAGGGTACATTAGGGTTTATAGTGGGGTTTAAGGACCCGTTTTTGTATGGTTTTTTCAGGGAGAGCAACCTTTTCTTTCTCGTGAGCTTAGTCTGAAATCAGCAGTCTGAAATCAGCCGTCTGAAATCAGCTTCGTCTGAAATCAGCTTCGTCTGAAATCAGCAGTCTGAAATCAGCATAGCCATGATGCCTGCCACTCCTGAGTGGCCAGCCTGTGCGTTCTCGTCCTGGTACAAGGAAAACAAGAGTGTCTAGCCTCGGAGAATTTGAGGTTTTTTTTCGTGTGTCTTGATTTGATTTCAATGAGATGGCAGCGTTTGGGGCTTACAGATTTCGTTGTTTCCCTGCTGCCTTCATTGTTGAGATGGCTGTTGTGGCTGTGGTGTCAGCGTCGTATCCGAACATTGAGGCGGGATCCAGGTATTTCAGCTTTCATGCGTCCTGTGGTTGAAATGATTTGCAGGCTGTGCCCATGACTGCCAGATTGTTGATTGGCAACGAGAAGGCAGTTCGGAGTCGAGGTCCCAGTTTTACTTCTTTGGACATGAAGGTGATGTGACCGAAACGTGGATGTCATCTGTGTCTATAGACCCTCTGAGGTGGCAATGAGTTTGCATACAGGAAGCCTGAAGGTGGCCTGCCTCTGTTGGTCTGTGACACGAGGACTGTCTCAGGCCTGGGAAGAGCCATGTTAAGTCACATGTGCAGTGTTTCAAGCATGTAGTTTTCGTTGTTTATTTGATAGGAGAAGATGGAAAAGTAATGGTTTTGGCACCCACAGCGGTTGCGACCTCGGTGGGTGTGTCAGCTGAGACCCTTGAATGTGTATTGAATGAAGCCGTGAGCTTCACTTTAGCAATTGATCAGTTGTAGTTCTTTTCAACCTTTCCTGAGGACGGTCATTGGTTCTGCTGGGAGGGCACTTGGAATGAGGACCACACCGACGTGACAAGAGAGAGGGTGTGTTTCCGTTGCACAGACTCAAATGTGCTGAATGGAGGGTATCACAGCTGGCAGATTAATAACGCCGACGAGGGCCAGCCTCCAGTTTGGTCGGAGTGGCCGATGGTTTGCAGATCTCACTGGCAATAAGTGACAGACAATAAGTTAGTGTGACAATAAGTTTTCATTGGGATTTTTAGAACTGACTGTCGGGAGTTTTGTTTCGTATATGTTTTGCACATCAGCAGTCTGAAATCAGCAGTCTGAAATCAGCTTTGTCTGAAATCAGCAGTCTGAAATCAGCAGTCTGAGAGTTGCCGTGTTTGAGATCTGCTGCTGGCAGTGCGGGGCACCTGTTCGTCATGAAGGAAACAAGGTTGTTTCATTGTTAGTTTGTTTTGGGTTGCAGGTCTGTAGTCGGAGATTGTTTTGTTCTTATTTGTCTACTTGGATATCATGCAGGTGACTCGTTTGTATCTTCCCGGATTGATCCTAGCCTGCGTGTTTCGCGAGAGGTGACCAGGAAAATGCAGACAGGGAGACTTGACTCTTGGTTTCAGTTCTCTGTGAACCTCTGATGTGGTTGGTCAGGGTGCGTGACTCCATTGGCTCCAGCATCCAGCTCAATGGGACTGAATTCCAAAGCAAGTCTGAAATCAGCAGTCTGAAATCAGCAGTCTGAAATCAGCATAGCCATGATGCCTGCCACTCCTGAGTGGCCAGCCTGTGCGTTCTCGTCCTGGTACAAGGAAAACAAGAGTGTCTAGCCTCGGAGAATTTGAGGTGTTTTTTTCGTGTGTCTTGATTGATTTGATTTCAATGAGATGGCAGCGTTTGGGGCTTACAGATTTCGTTCTTTCCCTGCTGCCTTCATTGTTGAGATGGCTGTTGTGGCTGTGGTGTCAGCGTCGTATCCGAACATTGAGGCGGGATCCAGGTATTTCAGCTTTCATGCGTCCTGTGGTTGAAATGATTTGCAGGCTGTGCCCATGACTGCCAGATTGTTGATTGGCAACGAGAAGGCAGTTCGGAGTCGAGGTCCCAGTTTTACTTCTTTGGACATGAAGGTGATGTGACCGAAACGTGGATGTCATCTGTGTCTATAGACCCTCTGAGGTGGCAATGAGTTTGCATACAGGAAGCCTGAAGGTGGCCTGCCTCTGTTGGTCTGTGACACGAGGACTGTCTCAGGCCTGGGAAGAGCCATGTTAAGTCACATGTGCAGTGTTTCAAGCATGTAGTTTTCGTTGTTTATTTGATAGGAGAAGATGGAAAAGTAATGGTTTTGGCACCCACAGCGGTTGCGACCTCGGTGGGTGTGTCAGCTGAGACCTTGAATGTGTATTGAATGAAGCCGTGAGCTTCACTTTAGCAATTGATCAGTTGTAGTTCTTTTCAACCTTTCCTGAGGACGGTCATTGGTTCTGCTGGGAGGGCACTTGGAATGAGGACCACACCGACGTGACAAGAGAGAGGGTGTGTTTCCGTTGCACAGACTCAAATGTGCTGAATGGAGGGTATCACAGCTGGCAGATTAATAACGCCGACGAGGGCCAGCCTCCAGTTTGGTCGGAGTGGCCGATGGTTTGCAGATCTCACTGGCAATAAGTGACAGACAATAAGTTAGTGTGACAATAAGTTTTCATTGGGATTTTTAGAACTGACTGTCGGGAGTTTTGTTTCGTATATGTTTTGCACATCAGCAGTCTGAAATCAGCAGTCTGAAATCAGCTTTGTCTGAAATCAGCAGTCTGAAATCAGCAGTCTGAGAGTTGCCGTGTTTGAGATCTGCTGCTGGCAGTGCGGGGCACCTGTTCGTCATGAAGGAAACAAGGTTGTTTCATTGTTAGTTTGTTTTGGGTTGCAGGTCTGTAGTCGGAGATTGTTTTGTTCTTATTTGTCTACTTGGATATCATGCAGGTGACTCGTTTGTATCTTCCCGGATTGATCCTAGCCTGCGTGTTTCGCGAGAGGTGACCAGGAAAATGCAGACAGGGAGACTTGACTCTTGGTTTCAGTTCTCTGTGAACCTCTGATGTGGTTGGTCAGGGTGCGTGACTCCATCGGCTCCAGCATCCAGCTCAATGGGACTGAATTCCAAAGCAAGTCATGTTTGCTTGTCACATGTTTGTTTCTTTCAATATGAGTTTCACGTCTCAAATCCGCGTTATGGGAAATGAACTTGTCAGAGATCAACCTTTTGTTGCAGGTCAGCTTGTTGACTTTCAAGTCTGAAATCAGCATTATGGGAACTCAACTTGTCAGAGAGCAACCTTTTCTTTCTCGTCAGCTTAGTCTGAAATCAGCAGTCTGAAATCAGCTTCGTCTGAAATCAGCAGTCTGAAATCAGCATAGCCATGATGCCTGCCACTCCTAAGTGGCCAGCCTGTGCGTTCTCCCGCGAGGATGCGGAGAGGTTTTGCGAGATGCTGGCCGCAGCGCACGGTCCAGCCTATGTGGACGACACATTGAACGATGTTTTGCAGAAACTTTTTCTGAAGGCCTTGAAGGATTATGAAATGGATGAGAACACAAGCAACGGTGGCTTGCAGTCATCTCTCTGGCAGATTCGGGATTGTCAGAGTTTGGAAATGCTGCCATCGCTTTGTCAAAATATCCATGATATGAAGATCGCGAAGGAGTATGAAGTCAATAAAAGCAATCCGGCAAAGGCAGTCGAGATTAGTGGAAAACAAAAGGCAGGAAATTACTATCTCTCTACCACTGTCAATGGTCGTGGTTGCAATTGTGCCGTCAAGTTTGGAGGTGAAAAATGGAGGGAAACCCAGGACAGCAGTGTGCGTCCTTGCGAAGCGACCATGGAAGGATTGGCAATGCAGAGATGGGTCGTGGATAAGTTGCTCAAGAAGGAGTCCTGGTACAAGGAAAACAAGAGTGTCTAGCCTCTGAGAATTCGAGGTGATCTTTTTTTTCTTATGCTTTTGTTTACTCTGAGATGAGGTTCTTCTGAGATTGGTTATTCTGAGATTGGCAGTCTGAGATGAGCAGTCTGAAATCAGCTTTGTCTGAAATCAGCAGTCTCACGCCGTTTTTTCTTTGTCTGTTTAGTTGGTTGTAATGTCTCTTTGTTTCCAGGTTTCAACATCTTCATGAACCGGTACTCTTATGCCACCGACCATGCCATTTCAATGCACACCGATGCGTCCAAATATTATGATGAGATTGATCCGATCACATCGCTTTCAATGGTCCTGGGATCATTTCTTTTGATCCAAGCGAAGCAGGCTAAAAAACGAGGCAACAAGCCGAGGTGGTGTTTGGTTGTTTACCAGCCGCCTTGCTCCATGCTGATCATGGCTGGGAAGTTTCAATCGCAGTTCGAGCATGCAGTGCCTGCTTGGTTGGACATGAAGGAGATTGCCCATGCGGAACAAAATGCTGAGTTTCAATTGACACGCGGTGGGCAGCAAGAGAATCTCAGACTCCTGTTTGTTGGGCAGGCGAAACAACAGATGAAGGATGAAATTGAGAGACTGGAGAGTCTCAATTTGAACGAGACTCACAGGTGGAATGTGACGGTGAGGTGGATAAGACGCCATAACGAGGACTGTCCATGTCGTGGGAAAAAAGTTGAACTAGTCGGACCTGAGATGCTGAAACCACCTGGAAAGGCAAGGACGCATGAGGGATCTGCGGGGTCGAGTGCCAAGTTACCTTGGGATGCCAAGGCAGCAGCACACCAGAGACAAGAGTTTAATAAAGGCAGGCCAGGAAGTGATGTGCGGAAAGAAAATGATGGTGAGAGGCCAAGTTTATTTGCAGAGCCAGCTTTGGTTGCCACGCTGGAAATGGCGATTGACATGATCACTGTGGAACCATGGCCGCTTTTTTCTGCTTCCTTCTGTGGAGACTCCGGTGTGAGGAGACTGGTCCTAGTTCGGCAGAGATGTTATTTTGTTTTGTTTCCATTCTGACAGCAGACCACTGTAACCTGAGGCCAACCTTTATTGTTTTAATGGCTTAGGGTACTGTGAAAATATGCCAGTGTTTTGTTATTCGATTGAATCCATCGGTAAGGAAAGCAAGATATAACGGCATTGGGGAGCAGATCGCAAGTTTGCTTGAAATTGATGCTTCTCTCAAGGAAATGGTTGAGAAGAACAAAATGTATCCTCAGCAGAGTTTAAGCGTGCAGCGGAAGATCGTGGAGAAGTTGCGCAAGTTGAGGAGACAGGCTTTGCTTTTGGACTTGCTTTGGTTGTCGACAGAGGGACCTAGTTTTGTCGCTGCGATCGACCAAGTGGCTGTCGAAGTTCCAGGCAAAGATCCAAAGCATTTGACAGTGGTTCAGATGTCTTTTCGTATGTTCAAGGTACTCCTGGATGAGCACCCCATTGATGAAGACTGCCTCCAAGAACATGGTCTCGTGTGCTTGGACTTTTCTGGTCTGCGTGACGATGTTTTGAGCCAAAGCGCGAAAGATAAAAAATGGGATTGGATGACTTTGCAGGGAAAATATTGCATCGAGTCATTCACAGCCTATGTGTTTGATGATTCTGCACCGTCGGATAGCATCAGTATCAGGACCAAACTGACTTTTCTGCAACAGCCTTTGCGTGATGTGGTCCGGATGGCTGAGTCTGGGTCAGGGCCAGAAGAGTCCCTGACAAGTGCTATGCGGTTGGAGAAGTGGTTCGATCTTTATTTGGATCAGATCTGGACACATGAAAGCTCCCAACGGGCTATGTCACCAGACGGTCGGTTGATTTTGTGGATGATACCTCTGCAAACGAGACTCACCTACCTCGGCTCTAAAAGAGCGAAAACAACATGACTGCACCGAAAATCTGCCATTCTGAGATCAGCAGTCTGAAATCAGCAGTCTGAAATCAGCAGTCTGAAATCAGCTTCGTCTGAAATCAGCAGTCTGAAATCAGCAGTCTGAAATCAGCAGTCTGCATTTCTGTCATTGCAGTGGAGCAAAGCTGAGTACGAAGTTTGCTCAGCACATGCTTCAATGGATGGCCACCTGTTCTTCTTCTTTTTATTATTTTCATCATCTTTATTGTTAGTACTATTCATTAAGGTGCCTGCATCATAGAGCCATCAAGTATCGTTGATGCCGAAGCCTCACTTCTTCGGCACGGTGTGGCTGTGATTGCCGTCCCGGATGCACGGCACGCTTGCGAGTGAGGGCAAAAGAGGGATCTGATTGGCACTGTCTGCCAATCCCGTAGGCTCCATGCATGCAAGGCTTTTACCATGCACACTGGCCAGAGGCAGGCTGTTTTTCTTGCAGTTAGTCTGGAGCTGGCATTTCGAGTTGTGCTGCACAGAGTGCCGGCAGCCGCAGGCATCAAGCTCCGTTCCAAGTCATGTTGCAAGGGCAAGCTGTAATGCATGATCGAGAATGCAGGCAGACTCGCAGTGCTTTGCAGAATCAGCCTTATAGAAAGGTTTTAGCGATGGAGGGCCAAGACAATGCACTCGTCTCCAAGAGATTCTGCCGTGGCTTGGCGGCCAGTGTTTTCGTCATGTGCAATCTGGAGCTGGAGGATGTGCGAGCCCTTGCTCGGAAGGGCTTGGTCGATTTGGCACACTGCATTGGGCACATGCAGGAGCTGACCGTATGGCAGGAGGTTGCGGAGTTCTTGTCTTTTTGGGCTGGGGTCTTGTCAGTGGCAGTGCCGGCTTTCTCGAACGTAGATGATTCGGGTAGCTTTGCATGGCCTGCTAAGTTTCCTCCGGTGGGCAAGTTTTTCGTGGCACCTCATGAGAATCTTCCGGTTCCAAAACTTTTGGAAAAGTTCACGATCGAAGAAGAGGGAGACATGTTCAACGGCCTTGTTGCTTCCATCGACTTGGTGCAGCAGCTTCTTGTTCACGTCCCCGAGGAGCTGAGCGACTAGACCCATATAAAGTGCATGCACGCATCTGTGTGTGTGTGTGTCTGTCTGTCTGTCGCATGCTTGCATCTGTTTTTCTTCTTCAATCCCAGCAGCTAAACACTGCAGGCTTTCGTGTGGAGAGGCTTGCCGTGCACATGACGGATATTCTTTCTGTGGTTCACATGCATATTCAGATGCGGAAGCTGCAACTTCTTTCGTGGCTTGCCGATATTATAGCAATCCTGGGCTCACATGTGTTTCAAACATCGAATGAGTTAGACTCCTGCACTCAGGCCGGCGGAGAGAAAGAAGTTCACGGATGTGATGGACAATTTAATGATGGACGAGCAGACGAATTTTGCTTCAAACTGCTTTATTCATGTTGCCGCTTTTTGTGCTATCCATCCACACATTTGTGGGTGTACTGGCTGGCTGCTATGTACTTAGGAAGTGATTGGTTCATGGATGTGTGCTCGGAGCTGCATGCCGTGCCTTGGCGACTTTGCTTGTCCGCCTGAGTCTTTGTCGTGCATTCACAAGCAGAGCTTTGCTCTAGCGAGGTTGGGTATATCCGTTGGCCATGCTGCTCTTGAAATCCTTTGGCTACGCTGCTTCTTGGCAACTCTATTGAACCGGCTGCTTGCATGATATTTTTGTCCTAGGTTCGCCTCCTGGGCAATTTTGGCTACCGACGATATGGTTTTCCTTATTGGACAATTTTGGCTACCGGCGATATGGATTATTGGCTTTCGGGTGCAGACCGGCCTCTGTATCTTTGCTGAAAACCGTGCGGAGCACTGCGATCACAGCATTCGATCGACTTCGATAGTCATGTTCAGGGCTTCGGGTTCACACTGCGATAGCCTGAAATCAGCAGTCTGAAATCAGCAGTCTGAAATCAGCAGTCTGAAATCAGCAGTCTGCATTTCTGTCATTGCAGTGGAGCAAAGCTGACTACGAAGTCTGTTCAGCACATGGTTCAATGAATGGCCACCTGTTCTTCTTCTTTTTATTATTTTCATCATCATTATTGTTAGTACTATTCATTAAGGTGCCTGCATCATAGAGCCATCAAGTATCGTTGATGCCGAAGCCTCACTTCTCCGGCACGGTGTGGCTGTGATTGCCGTCCCGGATGCACGGCACGCTTGCGAGTGAGGGCAAAAAAGGAATCTGATTGGCACTGTCTGCCAATCCCGTAGGCTCCATGCCTGCAAGGCTTTTACCATGCACAGTGGCCAGAGGCAGGCTGTTTTTCCTGCAGTTAGTTCTGTTTTCGCAATGGCAATGGCAGCACATTGGAAGCCCAGTCCAGCATCTTGACTCTGGTGCTGAGGAGACGGTGGCGGCTGAGAGTGCGGCAGCAGAGCCTGTGGCGGCGTCTCGACTCAACCCCAGGCCTTTGCTAAGTAGAAAAAACCCTTTACTCAGGATCCTGTGGCTTCCAGTGCTGCACTGCCCTATGATTTGAGTTGAGGGTTTGAAATTCACGTAGACCTATGTACGGCATGCACCTTGCTTGGCATCCAGGTGCCGCATCCTGATTCCAAGCACAAATCCTATGGGAAATTACAATTCGCACCCTTGTTTTTCTGGGATTCCAAACACAAATCCTATGGGAAATGACAATTCGCACCCTTGTTTTTCTTGGATTCCAAGCCCACAAATCCTATGGGAAATGACAACTCGCACGTCGTTTGGAAATACATATCCTATGGGAAATTACAATTCGCACCCTTGTTTTTCTGGGATTCCAAACACAAATCCTATGGGAAATTACAATTCGCACCTGTGTTTTTCTTGGATTCCAAGCCCACAAATCCTATGGGAAATGACAACTCGCATGTCGTTTGGAAATACATATCCTATGGGAAATTACAATTCGCACCCTTGTTTTTCTGGGATTCCAAACACAAATCCTATGGGAAATTACAATTCGCACCTGTGTTTTTCTTGGATTCCAAGCCCACAAATCCTATGGGAAATGACAACTCGCACGTCGTTTGGAAATACATATCCTATGGGAAATTACAATTGGCACCCTTGTTTTTCTTGCATTCCAAGCACAAATCCTATGGGAAATGACAACTCGCACGTCCTTGGGAAATACATATCCTATGGGAAATTACAATTCGCACCCGTGTTTTTCTTGGATTCCAAGCATTCGCAGCCTTATTTTTCTTGGATTCCAAGCACAAATCCCATGGGAAATTACAATTCGCACCCTGTTCGGAAATACATATCCTATGGGAAATTACAATTCGCACCCGTGTTTTTCTTGGATTCCAAGCATTCGCAGCAATATTTTTCTAGGATTCCAAGCACAAATCCTAAGGGAAATAACAATTCGCACCCTTGTTTTTCTTGGATTCCAAGCACAAATCCTATGGGAAATTACAATTCGCACAGTTGTTTTTCTTGGACTCCAAGCACAAATCCTATGGGAAATTACAATTCATAATTCGCACCCTGTTCGGAAATACATATCCTATAGGAAATTACAATTCGCATCCTTGTTTTTATTGGAGTCCAAGCACAAATCCTATGGGAAATTACAATTCGCACCCTTGTTTTTCTTGGATTCCAAGCCCACAAATCCTATGGGAAATGACAACTCGCACGTCGTTTGGAAATACATATCCTATGGGAAATTACAATTCGCATTCGCACCCTTGTTTTTCTTGGATTCCAAGCCCACAAATCCTATGGGAAATGACAACTCGCACGTCGTTCGGAAATACATATCCTATGGGAAATTACAATTCGCACCCTTGTTTTTCTTGGATTCCAAGCCCACAAATCCTATGGGAAATGACAACTCGCACGTCGTTCGGAAATACATATCCTATGGGAAATTACAATTCGCACCCCTTGTTTTTCTTGGATTCCAAGCCCACAAATCCTATGGGAAATGACAACTCGCACGTCGTTTGGAAATACATCCTATGGGAAATTACAATTCGCACCCTTGTTTTTCCTGCATTCCAAGCACAAATCCTATGGGAAATGACAACTCGCACCCTTGTTTTTCTGGGATTCCAAGCCCACAAATCCTATGGGAAATGACAACTCGCACGTCGTTTGAAATACATATCCTATGGGAAATTACAATTCGCACCCGTGTTTTTCTTGGATTCCAAGCATTGCAGATTCCAAGCACAAATCCTATGGGAAATTACAATTCGCACCTTGTTCGGAAATACATATCCTATAGGAAATTACAATTCGCATCCTTGTTTTTATTGGATTCCAAGCACAAATCCTATGGGAAATTACAATTCGCACCCTGTTTGGAAATACATATCCTATGGGAAATTACAATTCGCACCCTTGTTTTTCTTGGATTCCAAGCCCACAAATCCTATGGGAAATGACAACTCGCACGTCGTTGGGAAATACATATCCTATGGGAAATTACAATTCGCACCCTTGTTTTTCTTGGATTCCAAGCCCACAAATCCTATGGGAACTGACAACTCGCACGTGGTTTGGAAATACATATCCTATGGGAAATTACAATTCGCACCTGTGTTTTTATTGGATTCCAAGCCCACAAATCCTATGGGAAATGGCAACTCGCTCGTCGTTCGGAAATACATATCCTATGGGAAATGACAATTCGCACCCTTGTTTTTCTTGGATATCCTATGGGAAATGACAATTCACATCCCTTGTTTTTCTTGGATTCCAAACCCACAAATCCTATGGGAAATGACAACTCGCACGTCGTTTGGAAATACATATCCTATGGGAAATTACAATTCGCACCCGTGTTTTTCTTGGATTCCAAGCCCACAAATCCTATGGGAAATGACAACTCGCACGTCGTTGGGAAATACATATCCTATGGGAAATTACAATTCGCACCCTTGTTTTTCTTGGATTCCAAGCACAAATCCTATGGGAAATTACAATTCGCACCTGTGTTTTTTCTTGGATTCCAAGC